GCGCCAATCTGACAAAAAACAAAGAAAACAAATTTAATTTAAAGCAAAACAATTATATCCTAATGACATAGTTAACTTAATTAAACTTTTCTATTAAAATACTTATTAAAAATAGAATGGATAACACTACCAAATAATTTTAATAGTATAGTGGATAAAATAAAACTCCTATCCTCTAATATAAAAAAGCCACAAGCAGTAGTAAATGCATTTTTGGCAAAATTTCCCTCCCAACAAAAAACGACAACGTTTGGTATTGCTTGGTAATTGCGGTCGAAATGGTTCATATGATCATAATTAATGATAGGCATTAAATATGGTGATATTTAATTAGCTGCTTGGCATTTCCAATATGACGATTGGTTTTACAAGCTCATCGTAAATCTACATCTGGACCATTGGTATAAGAGCATTTCCAATTCCTAAACCTACTTATAAATAGGTCTCTTTGTTTCGAACACAAAGACTTCAACTATAATACATCAGATTGCTTCCGAAAAACACAGAAAAATCGACAGAATACACACTACAGTTTTGCGGTGACATCTCTCCATTGGGTGTACATATGAAATCCTGGAACAAAGAGGGAGTGAAGGCATCAGAGGTAAAGAAGTATTCTTCCACGATAAAGAGGTATGTATTTTTTTTAATATTTGTCCATACATGTTTTTTTGAATATAGATTATAGAATACAGAACATCTTTTTCTTCATGCTCATACATCCAAAGAGCATGTTGCTAATTACCTCACAAAGTATGAAGAAGGCAGAGTTTATGGTGTCAAATTCTTTTTGCAAACTTTCTCAGACATATGTATTGTATCAAATCTTTTGCATCTTTGAAAGCTAAAGAAGAATTTGATACGGCCGGACAGCACAAGGAGGAACACCGCCAGTGGAACTTTTGGGGTGGCAATCATCGTTAGATATGCTAAATGTCAAAGAAACTACGCGGCAACCACCAGCGGCCATGTTCTGGACGGCTGCGGTGAGTTCATGGCCAGCGGAGAAGATGGCCCTGCCGCTCTCACTTGCCTGCCTGTTGCTGTCACCAGTTTTGAGAATTTTTTTATGGTGTCAATTTTTTTTTTTTTTTAATTACGAGTTTGAGAATTTTTTTTGCAAACTTTCTCAGATATATGTATTGTCTGAAATATTTTGCATCTTTGAAAGCTAAAGAAGAATTTATCAGGATTTTATCAACCCAAAGCTCAATGAAGAACAAGGAAAGTGTTAGTGCTAGACAATTATGCCTTAATGGCATTTTAAGTTTTTTAGATATTAGACTGGATTTGAGGATTTATTTTATTGTGATGCATTTTGTTCATCTACAAATATGTATGTAGATGATTCCAAGATTATTATTTTTAAGTGATTTTGCAGATTATATTACATTCGGAGTTATATAGTGTTTTTTTTAGTTTTTTTGGCAGCAATCACTTTACAGATTCAGAAGAAACTATCCCAGTGAATAGCTTAAAGGACATATCATTGGCAAAGGAAGCAATGATGATGTTGCCTACTTAGTGGTAATAGTCCTTGTTAGGTGTTTTTTTTTTTTTTTTTTTTTATATATATATATATTTTACGGTACATACAAACTCATGTATGTATTTTACTTATCAATTTGAATTCCCATTTGAAATTAATGTAATATTTATTTTTGATTTGATTTAAAATTATTAGATATAGTTACCAATGAATTTAGTGACTGTGATGTATTTTATTGGGACTGTGTTGTATTTTAAAAATAATTATTTAGTATAAAATCATTCAGAGTCCAATACATTAAAAGTAAAACGAAGATGGTGGAGTTTCAAAGTGACGGAACAGGAATCACATAGAAGATGAAGGTGAAGTGAACCTTCTGGAAAACATGGCCTTAATTGACAGTCAAGAATCGCGTGCGACATGGTCCAGATTTCTATGCGATGCAAGCTAAAATGGTGTAGTTGCCAAGGTACAGAACGGAGAATTGGTTTTAGGAGATGAAGGTGAAGTGAACCTTCTGGAATCGGAAAATGGGATTGACAGCCAAGCAACACCAATCCTCTTGCTAATCTGACCAGCATCTCTTTTTAATTTTTTTTTTGTAGAGATCTCTTTTTAATTATTAATTAGTAATATTACTAAGTTTTTAGCACTAATATTGTGGTCTTTGAATTATATTGTTTTCTTTTCAGAGAATGAGAACACAATACCTAGGTTGTTAATGACTTCGTCAGATCTAAGATTGCCATTTAAATTCTAAAGAAGGCAATTCTTCATGATGCTTTCTTACGCAATGATTATAAACAAAAGTCAGGGGCTGACATTAACTCATGTAGGATTGCTCTAAAGAAATAAGTGTTTGTACATGGTCAATTGTACGTTGCTGCGTCCAGAGTTAGCAACCCTACCGGTGTAAAAATTTTGATTGCCAACAAAGCTGAACTGAGGGGTACTTTAACTCCCAATGTTGTGTACGGATGGAAGTATTTAATAATTTATAATTTTATATCAATGATTATTAATTTTTGTCATTCATTTTTTAGTCTGAGAACTTGTGTGACAGTCATTCATCTAAAACAACGTACGCATGTAAAGCAACTTTAGAAATTATTAGCATGGTTATATTCAAATATATTTACTTAACCGGTATAAGTTTCATCCACGGGACAATTACTAGTTAATATTAATAAAAATGCAATTAATATTTATTAAAACCAATCTAAACTAGTAACATATAAATAATATAATATTTATTATAAAATCGAACATAAAACTTTATTTATTTATGCAACTCACTAACTAAAATTACTCTAAATAATGCCTAGAAATTAATCTTATCAAACTTCCCCACACTCAAGGTTTTGCTTGTCCCCAAGCAAACTTATGCAATGAAATCAAACTACCAACCATAACCATGTCAACTAGGCATTCAATTCAAGGGGATGGTAAACACATAATACTTCATGAGAGTTCAAAGTTATATCCACACAAGACAATAGAGAATAGTAGTCATCACGGTTGTTCACTCAATCTCTCATAAATATATACGAAAGGTACACACTATCCTCTATTGAGAGTGCACTTGCCATAGGCTTGCTTGTCCACCAAAACTCCGCTACCAAAATTATATGAAGAACGCGAGTCAAAAGGTCTTTATTTCTGGGTTGTAATGGGGCCAAGGGTATGTGATTTATGAAAGAAAGGATATAAGGAAATACAAAGAAAGTCCAAGGAATCAGTAGAGCCATAATTCCACCATATCTAGAGCAAGAACTTGTAAACCAATACAATGAACTCTACCAAAACAAACCATCATTTCTACTTCATTCTCCCTCATCCTTTTCACTGATAAACAACTTCCAAAACCTCCATCTCTATTTCATCTTTTTTCCATTTCTTTTGTTTTTTTTTTTTTCTGTTTTTTCATTTGTTTTCTCTTTTTTTTTTTTTCTCTTTTTATTCTCTTTTTTTTTTTCAACTGAATAAATTGCTTTCCATTTCCACACAACCCTCAATGGTACTCTTCCCATAATCATCAAATTTCTTTCATGCCCTCATTGCTCACAAATCATTTTAAGAATAAAATGAGCACAAAAGTTTGGGCTAACAAGATTTTCAACCCACAATTTAGAACATATCATTTTGTTCTTTTTTTTCCATTTTCATCTCTTTTGATCACAAACAATTCCTCACCCAAGCAAACCAGCTATACAATCACCTTTCAACTCCAATCTCACCCATACTTCATCATTTTTGGTCATCTTGCACAGATAAATGAAATAATGACATCCACTGACCCAAAGACGGGTTAAGAAGCTTCTTTTTATGAGCTAAGGTTCTTTGGAACTGGCTAATGAAGAAAAATGTCTTATATATTTATTATAAAGCTCAAAATGGTTCACTAGGGGAAAAATAACATGTATAAAAATGTGGTCATTTTTAAGGCTATAAGGCTAAATCCTAATGCCTAAATTATTCTCGTGTCATCACATAACATGTAGCTCTGAAATGGTATGAAACAAGTTCTAGAAGTAACACAATCAAAGATGGCAAATAAACACTCAAAATGAAAATAAGCTGCAGTGGGCAACCTTTAGGCTCAAAAGCTCACGGTGTGACAGAATTTGACTACTAACTCTATGCAAGCATACATATAGCTAAACACATTCATTGATATTATGCACTCCCAAAGCACTAGAACTTATCTCCCAACTAACATAGTCATTAGAAGGCATTTTTTTAACTTTATTTTGCTGAAAAATGAAATAAATGACGCTGAAAATCCCATAAAATGCAGAAAATGTAGAAAGAAAAATGCAGAATTTTACTGTAGCAACCTATTTTGCATAAAACTTGCAGAAAACATACCCTAATCTTACTTTCTCTTCCCCACACTCAAACTCAACATTGTCATCAATGTTAAATATAAAAGAAAGTATGGGAAAATGAAATAAACAGGAAATTTCCCTGTTAGTTGCCAGTTTCTTCCGGGGTTGCCCTTTGGTGAAGCAACCATGAATGGTCTCTTTTTCTCTCTGTCAATCTCTGTGGCCTCATACGAACAAACTTTAGTGACCATGAAAGGACCAAACCATCTAGACTTCAATTTCTCTAGAAAAAGCTTAAGACAAGAATTAGACAACAAAACTTCTTGCCCTACATCGAATTCTCTCCAAAAATTATTTTTGTCATGCCAAGATTTAGTCAATGTTCTCCACAATCTCTCTTCTTTTGCATGAAGTAAATGAGCATAAGAAAACATAAGAAAAGCATCATTGTTACTCAAAAATTCATATTTGAGCCGTAATGAAGGTGGTTTAAGTTCAAGTTGATGTGGTGTTTCACTAGGTGAATGCTTAACAAATTCTTCTTCTGAAGGTTTCTCAATAACATCAGCAAAAAGACATGATTCATCAAAAGTTGGTAATTTTACAGCTTTAGAGATAGAGAATTCCTCTTTTTCTTTACCTACTCTAAAAATCAATTTCCCTAAAGCCATATCAATTAATACTCATCCTGTCAACAAAAATGGCCTACCAAGTATAAGAGATGTATCTGTGTCACTACCCATATCAAGAATCAGAAAATCAGCAGGAAAATAAAATTTACCAACTTTTACCAATATATCCTCCACTACTCCAAGCGGGTACTTGACTGATCTATCAGCAAGTTGAAGAGAGATTGTTGTTGGCTTCATTTCAGCTATTTCCAACTTATTGAAAAGAGTTAAAGGCATAAGGTTAATACTGGCACCTAGATCACATAAGCATTTATCAATGACAGTATTACCAATAGTGCAAGGAATAGAAAAACTTCCTGGATCCATTAACTTAGGAGGTAATTTGCTTTGTAGAATAGCACTACACTCCTCATTTAGATGCACAGTAGCAAAATCTTCCAATTTCTTTTTATTAGACACAATTTCCTTAATGTATTTGGCATAAGATGGCATATTAGCAAGTGCTTCTGCAAAAGGAATATTAATCTGCAATTTTTTAAAAACCTCCAAAAATCTTTTAAAGTTATTTTCCTGGTTCCTCTTTTGTAACCTTTGTGGATATGGAATGGGGGGTACATAAGGTTTTACTATAGAGGAATTGAGGTTTTGATCAGTAGAATTCTCTTTAGGCACTTGATCCTCTTCTTTATCACTCTCTTTCTCAACCCTCGTGGGTTCATTTTCTTTCATAATCTCATTCAATATCTTACCACTTCTCAATGTGACAGCCATAGCTCCTTCCCTAGGGTTTATTTCAGCGGTACTAGGAAACTTACCTTGATCTTTTTCTGCAATCAATTTAGCCAACTGACCTACTTGCACCTCTAAATTATGATGGATGCTTGGTTGGACTGAGAAACCTTATCAATTTTTGCATCCATTTTCTTCATCATAGTGTCCTGGCTAGCCATGTATTGCATGAACATCTCCTCCAGTTGAGGCTTCTTCTCCTGAGCAGGAAGTTGAGACTGTTGTGGTGTAGGTGGCTGCTGGAAAGGTCTGTATTGCTGATGCTGAAATCCTGATGGTACTTGTTGCTGGAATCCGGGTGGTCCCATTGGTCTTGCATTACCTTGATCTCTCCATGAGAAGTTAGGGTGATTTCGCCAACCTGGATTATATGTGTTAGAAAATGGATCATTTCTTGGTGGTTGCCTACCCATGTTGGATCCCATGTAATTAGCTTCCTCATAAGATGGTTGTAATTAGCTTCCTCATAAGATGGTTGTGATGAATCTGCATTCATACAAACAGAAGAATTATGACCATATGTATTGCAAAAAGCACAAAATCCTCTATTCGAACTATCACGAGTCATCAACAAGTTCATCTGTTTAGTCAATTCAGACACTTGTGTTGTCAACTCAGATTGTGTGCTAATTTCGTGCACAGCAGCTCTTCGACCTCTCACTGCCTTTTGTCGAGAATTAGTAGCTAAGCTCTCATAGATAGCTTCTAATTCATCACTATTTTTATCACCTGTGTATCCACCTGTAGCAATATCTACAAGAGACTGACAATTAGGAGTAAAACCATCATAAAAGAATTGTGTCAACAATAACAATGGGAATTGATGGTGTAGACATTGGGTCAAAAGCAATTTAAAACGATCCCATGCCTCATGAAACAATTCACCCTTTCTTTGAGTAAAAGTGCATATTTTACTCCTATAGTCCATTGTCTTTTGAGATGAATAATATTTAAACATGAAAGCATTGTAAACATCATCCCATGTTCTTAAAGAACCCTCTGGTAAATTTAACAACCACTGCCTAGCATCACCCTCATGCAATATGAAAAACATTTCATTCTAAGCTCTTCTTCAGATAAATTATTTAAAGGTAAAGTTTGTACCGTACTGTAGAGCTCTTGCATGAAACCCAAAGCATCTTCACTTCCCAAACCGTTAAAGGTCGGGAGCATATTCAGATGGAAACTCTTGAGTTCATAATTCCTAGTTGCATCAGATAATTGAATGTCAGAAGGGTTAATAACTATTACTGGTCTTTGGATGTCTCGAAGACGTGGTTGAGCTGCTTGATTTTGAGGAGGTGGAACTATTGGTGGTACGGGGTCATCCAGTTGACCCACTCTATTGTTCTCAGCCATTTCAAGCCGCCTTCGTACCCTGTGTTTTCTGCAAGTACGCTCAATTTCAAGATCAATAGGAAATAATTCAGTATTTTTATGCCTTAGTGAACGCCTTAAGTTCATAAACAGAATAAAATAAAAATAGAAAAAAAAACTTAATAAAAATAAGAATAAAATAATAATGAACCGAACAACCTAAAATAAATTTGAAAAGAAAAACTTAAAGAAAACAGTTTAATAAAAGTGTCCCCGGCAACGGCGCCAAAAACTTGATTGCTATAATCTGCAAGCGCACAGAGTCAATCACAGTATAAACTCCTGGACTACTCCAGGGTCGATCCCACGAAGAACACTATTAACTGTTATCTTGAATAATCAATTTTGATGATAAGGAAAAAAAGCAAATAAATAATATTAATGTAATTAAAAAGAATAATTATGAATCTAAAGTTAAGAAAAATTCCAATTACGAGAAGACTAGGGATTTGGGTTCACCTATTAGATAATTAACTAACTCTCCTAAATATTAATTCTTGTAATTATAGTGATGATTGCTCCAATTATATCCTAACACTCAGTCGAGCTACTAGGTTGTATCCCATTAACTGTGATCATCCGTCGATATCTCACCAACATTAATTGAACCCATTAAGCAACAATCAAATCTCACCACAAATACCTAAAGCTATGTCTAGTCTAGGTCAATTGTGTTTATCTTACGAGTTCTAGGTTCATAATTCACCTGTCAGTTCTTCTTATAAACCCTGATATTAGAATTATGCAATGGCCAGTCACACAATCCACAAATAAAACACATAAAATAAATATAATCAAGTTCAATCATTAAACTGAAATTGGAAGAATTAACACATGAAAAGTAGTCAATTGATCTAATCAGGCTAATCCAAATCCCTAATTAAAGTTCTAGCCAATAACCATAATTAAATGTATGTAAGTTCAAGAAACATTATTCTAGAAATTTGAACAAGAAATAATGTAAGAAAGAGAAATAATTTAAGCCTAAGAGATGATAGCTGCGATTGAAGCTTGAAAATTCCTTGCGATGGAGTCCCTGAAGTCGCCGCCGCTCCCAAGCTTCCGTGATCTTCCTCCTCGTTCTTTTTTCTATTCGCTTCCGTCTCCCCTATTCTGTCGTCTCTCTAAAACAAAACCAATTTAAAAGTGTTTTTTTTTTTGTCTTTACTCTTCTACTGCCGTGAAAGAATAAAACCCCATCATCCCTAATTCCCCTTTTGATTTTCCTTATAATGATGCGCCAATCTGACCAAGAAAACAAACAAAACAAATCTATACTATATATAAAAACAAAATCCTGAAATTTTAACTTTCTGACCAATTCCTAACAAATCTCTCTTCCTAATAAAATATATTGATTTCTACTTTCCCATTCGTACAATAATTCTGCGTTAAAATTCTATTCCAATATTATAAAGTAGTGTAATACAATCTATACTATATATAAAAAAAAAAATCCTGAAATTTTAACTTCCCGCCCAATTACTAAAAAATCTCTTTTCCTAATAAAATATATCAATTTCTACTTTCCCATTCGTACAATAATTCTGCGTTAAAATTCTATTCTAATATTATAAAATAGTGTAATACAATCTATACTACATATAAAAACAAAATCCTGAAATTTTAACTTCCCGTCCAATTCCTAAAAAATCTCTTTTCCTAATAAAATATATTGATTTCTACTTTCCCATTCGTACAATAATTCTCCGTTAAAATTCTATTCTAATATTATAAAATTGTGTAATACAATCTATCTATACTATATATAAAAACAAAATCCTGAAATTTTAACTTCCCCCCAATTCCTAAAAAATCTCTATTCCTAATAAAATATATTGATTTCTACTTTCCCATTTGTAAAATAATTCTGCGGTAAAATTCTATTCTCAAATTATAAAATAGTGTAATACAATATATATTATATATAAAAACAAAATCCTGAAATTTTAACTTTCCGCCCAATTACTAAAAAAATCTCTCTTCCTAATAAAATATATTGATTTCTACTTTCCCATTCGTACAATAATTCTGCGCTAAAATTCTATTCTAATATTATAAAACTAGTTTTTTATGCGCATTGCGCGATTGGGATAACGCCCAATGCTATTTTTTTAAATAAGTACTTTAAAGTATATTAAGGCAGGATTATATTGAAATTGTTCATGCATAGATAATTGAAGGGTGAATTTGCGTATTTGAATAAATAATTCTTCTCCCAAAGGTTGAGTCCCCAACCCCAAGGGCCCCCCACACTCCGACCCGACAGAGCATTTAAATCCTGAAATTTTAAATATATACTACATATAAAAACAAAATCCTGAAATTTTAATTTCCCGCCCAATTCCTAAAAAATCTCTTTTCCTAATAAAATATATTGATTTCTATTTTCCCATTCGTACAATAATTCTGGGTTAAAATTCTATTCTAATATTATAAAATAGTGTAATACAATCTATATTATATATAAAAACAAAATCCTGAAAATTTAACTTCCCGCACAATTCCTAAAAAATCTCTCTTCCTGATAAAATATATTGATTTCTACTTTCCCAATCGTACAATAATTCTGCGTTAAAATTCTATTCTAATATTATAAAATAATGTAATACAATCTATACTACATATAAAAACAAAATCCTGAAATTTTAACTTCCCGCCCAATTCCTAAAAAATCTCTCTTCCAAAAAAAATATATTAATTTCTACTTTCCCATTCGTACAATAATTCTGCGTTAAAATTCTATTGCAATATTATAAAGTAGTGTAATACAATCTATACTATATATAAAAACAAAATCCTGAAATTTTAAATTCCAGCCCAATTCTTAAAAAATCTCTTTTCCTAATAAAATATATCGATTTCTACTTTCCCATTCGTACAATAATTCTGCGTTAAAATTCTATTCTAATATTATAAAATAGTGTAATACAATCTATACTATATATAAAAACAAAATCCTGAAATTTTAACTTTCCGTCCAATTCCTAAAAAATCTCTTTTCCTAATAAAATATATTGATTTCTACTTTCCCATTCGTACAATAATTTTCCGTTAAAATTCTATTCTAATATAATAAAATTGTGTAATACAATCTATCTATACTATATATATAAAAACAAAATCCTGAAATTTTAACTTCCTCCCCAATTCCTAAAAAATCTCTCTTCCTAATAAAATATATTGATTTCTACTTTCCCATTAGTACAATAATTCTGCGTTAAAATTCTATTCTAATATTATAAAATAGTGTAATACAATATATATTATATATAAAAACAAAATCCTGAAATTTAAAAATTCCCCCCAATAACTAAAAAAATCTCTCTACCTAATAAAATATATTGATTTCTACTTTCCCATTCGTACAATAATTCTGCGCTAAAATTCTATTCTAATATTATAAAATAGTGTAATACAATCTATACTATATATAAAAACAAAATCCATAAATTTTAACTTCCCGCCCAATTCCTAAAAAATCTCTCTTCCTAATAAAATAGATTGATTTCTACTTTCCCATTCGTACAATAATTCTGCGTTAAAATTCTATTCCAATATTATAAAATAGTGTAATACAATCTATACTATATATAAAAACAAAATCCTGAAATTTTAACTTCCCGTCCAATTCCTAAAAAATCTCTTTTCCTAATAAAATATATTGATTTCTACTTTCCCATTCGTACAATAATTCTCCGTTAAAATTCTATTCTAATATTATAAAATTGTGTAATACAATCTATCTATACTATATATATAAAAACAAAATCCTGAAATTTTAACTTCACCCCAATTCCTAAAAAATCTCTATTCCTACTAAAATATATTGATTTCTACTTTCCCATTAGTACAACAATTATGCGTTAAAATTCTATTCTAATATTATAAAATAGTGTAATACAATATATATTATATATAAAAACAAAATCCTGAAATTTAAAAATTGCCCCCAATAACTAAAAAAATCTCTCTTCCTAATAAAATATATTGATTTCTACTTTCCCATTCATACAATAATTTTGCGCTAAAATTCTATTATAATATTATAAAATAGTGTAATACAATCTATACTATATATAAAAACAAAATCCATAAATTTTAACTTCCCGCCCAATTCCTAAAAAATCTCTCTTCCTAATAAAATAGATTGATTTCTACTTTCCCATTCGTACAATAATTCTGCGTTAAAATTCTATTCTAATATTATAAAATAGTGTAATACAATTTATACTACATATAAAAACAAAATCCTGAAATTTTAACTTTCCGCCCAATTCCTAAAAAATCTCTATTCCTAATAAAATATATTGATTTCTACTTTCCCATTCGTACAATAATTCTGCGTTAAAATTCTATTCTAATATTATAAAGTAGTGTAATACAATCTATACTATATATAAAAACAAAATCCTGAAATTTTAAATTCCCGCCCAATTCCTAAAAAATCTCTATTCCTAATAAAATATATTGATTAATATATTGATTTCTACTTTCCCATTCGTACAATAATTCTGCGTTAAAATTCTATTCTAATATTATAAAATAGTGTAATACAATCTATACTATATATAAAAACAAAATCCTGAAAATTTAACTTCCCGCCCAATTCCTAAAAAATCTCTCTTCCTAATAAAATATATTGATTTCTACTTTCCCAATCGTACAATACTTCTGCGTTAAAATTCTATTCTAATATTATAAAATAGTGTAATACAATCTATACTACATATAAAAACAAAATCCTGAAATTTTAACTTCCCGCCCAATTCCTAAAAAATCTCTCTTCCTAAAAAAATATATTGATTTCTACTTTCCCATTCGTACAATAATTAAAAAAATATATTGATTTCTACTTTCCCATTCGTACAATAATTCTGCGTTAAAATTCTATTCCAATATTATAAAGTAGTCTAATACAATCTATACTATATATAAAAACAAAAATCCTGAAATTTTAACTTTCCGCCCAATTACTAAAA